ATGTAACAAATGACTTGCAGGGAGTTCAGTACATCCTGCCTAAATAAGATGTAACAATCCAAGAACAAGGAGGAACTGAGTAGATGTTTGTTCCTCCCAGGATGTCTTCAGCTGGTGTAATCTTGTCCTGGAGCATCACAGCATCACCGGATCATGGCGGTCTCAGTTGTGACCGGAGGCCAAAATGGAATGATGTCTTGGAATTCCATAGCTGGGCTGTAGGCAGGAGAACTAAGCTAACCATATGATCTTCCCCTAAAATTATGTAGCATTGGTCCCGACACAGCAGTAAGAAAATAGCAGAATTTGCCTTCACACTTATGTTTCACATTGTCACCCTTAGTCTTTATGTTCTTGGGTATTTTAGAAGGGACATCCTATATTTATGTTATAATTAGTGCCACATTGTAAGCTAAATATATTAGAGATAGAAGCTCAAAATTGTTCTTTGCTGAAGCAAGCAATCAAAAATACTGGAGAGGCCACAACAGAGACCATAGAATGTAGGTTTTCAGCAGTGGGGAAGGAAACAAGGTGGGCTAACTGCTGGTGATGGTGAGGGCCTCAAACCATCCAGAGGCCCAAGTTGCCACCCAGAAAGCTGCAGGGCTTCTCGGAGATTATTCAGTCCTTGTCCTTCCTTTCACAGGGAGCCCAAAGGGGAGGCCTTTGGTGTAGGTTCCACAGCAAATTGGAGGTAAAATGTGACACTTCACAGTTAATCTACTATTGGCTGGTCATCCACCATCCATCTGTCTATCCGTCCACTTATTCATTATGTTTATTGTTCAAATGTTTATTGAGCCCCTCCTCCAGGACACTGGGATGGTTCCTGCGCAGCCACGTTACCTCAGCCATTGATCGAATTACTCATTTGTCCCATAGACTGTTACTGAGCACCTGCAGTGTGCCCAGTACATTCAGTCCCCGGCTCCTCAGTAGATACCACAAGGCAACACCATCACAAATGCTTCCCGTGCTGAGTGAAGCCGCCTTTTGGGTTTTTCAGTTCTGCTTCCTTTTCTTTTTCTTTTGGTACCGGGGATCCAACTCAGGACCTTGCGCTTGTGAGGCAGATGGCAGAACCACTGAGCTAAATCCCGGCCCTTGCAGTTCTGTTTCAGACTAGAATTGGGTTTGATGGTTAGACTTGGACATCAAGACAAGGTTCTAGACAAGTATCCTCAAAGGGGAGTTTGGGGCAACCCACTCTGCATCTGCAGGGAGGGTGTACTGGAGGCCCAGGTCTTGTTGAGGGTCACTCATTTCACCAGAGAGGTGTTGTGGTATCAGGGTTTACATGCAGGCTCGGGAGCTCAACTGCTAGGTGCAAGGCCAGGCCTTTCTTTTAGCTTTGGGCAAGCCACTCATGGCCTGAGTCTTTCTGTAGAATAAGGCTAATGATGACACCCACCTGTATCTGTCAGCACATGCTAACTCTTGCCTGTGTAAGAAATAGCCCTCAAACCTCAGCCTTAACACCCAAAGCTGATATCCCAGTGATGCCCTGTGTCTGTTGTGTGGGACACAGCAGCTGCCACGTAGAGGATTCCAGCAGCACAAAAGGGAAGCAGCATGGCCAGGCTCACCTCCCCCTAGGGGGTCCTCCCGGAAGTACACAGCCTTCTCTACTCGCACTTCATTGGCCAAAGTGAGTGCCATGGCCACACTAACCCCAGTGGGCAACAAGTCCAGCTCTTCCAGGTGCCCAAAAAGCACCCTGGCAAGATGTCACAGTCAGCAGTAACACCTGCCACACCTACTCGGAAAGTGGTTGTGAGCATTACATTTGGTAAAACACACCCGTGTTAGAAGGGTTTAGCAGACACCAGGACTCAGTAAATGACAGCCATTGTCCTTCACCCTGGCAGTAACTGCTCCTATCATTGGTTATTCTGTCCCACAGCCCAGCCAGCTTCTTGTGAGCTCTGTCTGGTGGAGCACGGTGTCCTTCCTTCCTGTGGAGAACCCTTCCCATAGGCAATCTCCTCATCTGTCTCTGAGCCTCATTGAGAATCAACTGTGGCCCAGAGAGGGGAAGTAACCTGCTGCAGGTTGTACAGCCACCTTAGGGATAAGAGCAGCGATTGGCAAGAGTTTATTTGTCCTGGGGCTGTGGCTCAGGCCATGAGGACCGCTGAGGTGGCAATAGATCTTCCACCTTTTAGAAGTCACCGCTCTGGTCACTCACTCTTTTTAGGAATTTTTTATTAGTATATGTTTGTGATACATTACTTATATTTTGGGCCTCTCATATTAGAGAAACCATTTATGTTCTCAAGATCCATCCATTTTATTTGAAATGATTCATGGTTATCCTCCTTCATGGCAGAGTACTATTCCATTGTGTGTAAATACCACATTTTCTTTACCCATTCTTCTGCTGATGGTTCAGCCATTACGAATTGTGCTATAAACATGGGCATGAATGTGTCCCTGTTAATATGACGTCTTTAACTCTTTTGGGAAGCTATCTAGAAGAAGGATACCTGGGTCAAATAGAATTTCTACTTTTAGTTTTTTGAAGAATCTCCATACTGATTTCTATAGTGGTTGTACTACTTTACACTCCCACCAGTGACGTACAAGGGTTCCTTTTTCCCCACAACCCCCCGCCCCAGCATTTATTGTTTTTTGTTTGTGATGATAGCCATTCTTTCTGGAGAAAAATAGACTCTCTGTGTTGTTTTGATTTGCATTTCTCTGATGGCCAAAGATACCAAGCATTTTTTCATGTATTTATTGGCCATTTGTACCTCTTCTTCTGCGTAGTGTCTATTCATTTCAATTGCCCATTTTTTATTAGGTTTTTTAATTTGAGGCATGTAATGTTTTGGAGATCTTTATGTATTATGGATATCAGTCCTCTGTCCAAGGAGTAGCTGGCAAAAGTTTTTCCCATTTTTTAGGTTGTCTCTTCACTATGTTGATTGTTTCCTTTGCTGTACAGAAGCTTTTTAATTTGATGTAATCTCAATTATTGATTCTTTTTTTTTTTTTTTTGGTACTGGGGATTGAACTCAGGTCCTTGCACTTGTGCAGCAGGCAGTGAAACCACTGAACTAAATCCCCAGCCCAATTATTGATTCTTGATATTATGCCTTGTGCAGCTGGAGCTCTGTTCACGAAGTCCTTGCCTATGCCTATGTCTTGAAGAGTTTTACAATTATTTTTTTCTAGCAGATTCAGTATTTCTGTTTTTATTTCTAGATCTTTGATTCATTTTGATTTGATTTTAGTACAGGGTGAGAGCTATGGATCTAGTTTCATCCTTCTGCACATCACCAGTTTTTGCAGCACTGTTTGTTAAATAGGCTGTCTTTTCTCCGGTGTATGTTTTTGGCTTCTTTGTCAAAAATCGAGTAACTGAAGGAGACTGGAGTTGTGTCTGCATTCTCTATTTTAGCCCATCAGTGAACATGTCTTTTTTTTCCCCAACGCCATGCTGTTTTTATCACTGTAGCTTTGTAGAATATCTTGCAGTCTGGATTGTAATGACTGCTGCTTTGCTCTTGTTGCTCAGGATGGCTTGCCTGTTATGGGTCTCTCCAGCTTCCATATAAATTTTAGCATTGTTTTTTTCTAGTTCCGTGCAAAATACTGTTGATACTTTGATCGGAATTCCATTAAATCTATGTAATATTTTGGTAACATGGCCATTTTGACAATATTGGTTCTGCCTACCCCAGAACAGGGGATGTCTTTCCATTTTCTAATGTCCTCTTCCATCTCTTTATTCAGAGTACTGTAGTTATAGAGGTCTTTCTAATTCCTAGGTATTTAATGTTTTTTGAAGTTATTGTGAATGGAATTATTTTCCTGATTTCTTTCTTGGTGAGCTCATTGTTGGTGTACAGGAACTTTCTTGATTTTCGTGTGCTGATTTTGTATCCTGCTGCTTTGCTGAATTTGTTTGTTAGTCCTGAGAGTCTTCTGGTGGAGTTTTTTGGATCTTCTCTGTAAAGGATCATGTCATCTGCAAACGAGGATAGTTTGACTTCTTTCTTTCCTACTCAAATCGTTTTTATTCCTTTATTCCTGATGGCTCTGGCTAATGTTCCAAGAGCCATACTGAACAGGTGTGATGACAGTGGACACCCTTATCTTGGTCCTGATTTTAGAAAGAATGCTTTCAGCTTTTCCCCATTCAGTCTCATATTGGCTGTGGGTTTGTCATATTTATGGGAGTTTATATGGGTTTATCAGTTTAAGGTAAGGTCTGTCTGTTACAGGGAAGTAACTCACAACCTGATAGATGTGCTGAGTTCTTATCTCAGGATGCCAAGAATGGAGTCGAGGACAAAAGAAGTGAAGAGTAGGGAAAGTTTTATTAAAAGAAAGCTCCTGAGAGACAGGAGGGGCCTCAAAAGTGGGTTGCTGCTGAGGCTCTTTGTCTAGGGGGTTTTATACAGTAAAATCACATTATTATGGGATCAAACTGTGATCACCTGTACAAGGTGATTACACGGCCACTTGGCCAATATTGTTTAAGAAAGCAAGGTGTGTAGCAAGGGTGCATAGCATGGAGAAGAACAAAGGCATTTCTGAAGGGGTAGGAGTCAGGGTCAGAGCACTCTGGTCATCTATCGAGTGTCTGTGACGTTATTCAGGCTCATCAGACCAGTGATGCTGAATACAGCACAGCTCCGAGCTGCTGTTCATCTCAGGGGAGGCTCGCAGGCTGAGCCCCCTGTCTCTGTCTTGGGGCCTTGTTTCTATCAGCTCTGCCCTCGACCATAGTCCCGGTGTGCCTCATCTCTGCTCTGATTCTACCTTGGGCCTGGGGCATTTCTAACTGTCGCTCAGTCTGTACCTTAACCATCTGTAGTACTTCTGTACCTATTTTTGTCAGGGTTTTTCTTGTCATGAATGGATGTTGGAGTGACCCACTCTCTGTAGCCCACATATGTCCCAAGGTTCCCAGAGTCTTGGAAGGGGCACAGAGCTCTGTCCCTGGGCAGAGCTGGATGGGGGGGAAGGAGGCCAGTATCACTGCACGCATCTGCAGGGAGTGACCCCAGGCCCAGCCTGCCTGCCCGCAGTGCTCAGGCAGCCCAGGGCCACCTGCATCTGGCCCACCCAGCCCCTGCTGCCCAGCACAACCCTCCAGCCAGGGCCTGGTGGGGTTTGCCAACCTGTGACCTGGAGTCCCCGTGGAGTCACACCAAGTGTCCTCCCTAATGCCTTCCCCCGAACAGGCCATGGAGTCAGCGGAAAGGAAAAGACAAGAGAAAAGACAAGAACAGGAGGACAACATGGCTGAGATCTCCAGCCAGCTGCGGGGAGACCTGCTCTCAGAGAACCCTCAGCAGGCAGCCAGCTCCTTTGGGCCTCACCGTGTGGTGCCAGACCGCTGGAAGGGGATGAGCCGGGAGCAGCTAGAGGGCGTCCGTCTGGCCCAGAAGCAGCAGATCCAGGAGAAGCTGGTGCCTGGCCCCTGCCCTTACCCCAACCCGCAGCCCCAGCCTCTGCTCCCTGCTGCTCTCCATGCACAGTGGACCCAGCTTAGCCTGTCCAGAAGAGACGGAGGCCTGGAGGCTGGAGGGGATTAAGAGGGGAAGGCAGGTGCCCAAGCTCAGCGGTGGAGGCCTGAGGTCGTGGCCGGCCTGGGGAAGCCGGGCTTTTCTGGTGACCAGGTGGAGGCTTTGGAGGGCTTTGGACAGAGCCCTGCAGGGTCACTGAGGTTCAACAGGATCCCCTGGCTTTTGGGTAATCTAGGGAATAAGGAAGGAGCGGCCAGCTGGGGACACTGGCAGGGGTGGAGGGGAGGTTTTGGAGAAGTGGTAGGTTGTGGGCCTGTTCTGAAGGTGGTGCCCACAAGATCAGTTCAGGGGTCGGGTGTCGCCTGTGGCAGAAAGAGAGATAAGGACAAGGCCTTAGGCCTGAGCGACAGGACAGCTGGTGTCGAAAGAGGTGCAAAGGTGGGCAGAGGTTGTGAGGAGAGGAAGTCACAAGGGCGCCCTGGGTGTGTGAAGGGTGTGATGTCCTTTGGCCGTCTGCACCAGGTAGGACTGGGTTTGCCTGCATGTGGCAGAAAGCCACAACAAGCAGCTTTTTAAGGGAACTAGAACCTTAGCTTTTGTGTGTTGACTGAACCTAGGCAAACATCTAGGCGGGGGTGGCAGCTCTGTCTGGTGAAATCGGCTCTGAAGCAAGTCGCCAACTAGTGGGGTCAAAGTCAGTGCTGCTGAGTGGTCGGAGGAGGGGTGAGGACGGGACAGGAAGGGGCGGAGGAGGCAGGGGAACCACAGGCACTTGCAGAGGGTCTCTGAGTGGGGTCTGGGCAGGCCGTTTCTTCCGGTCCTGGTCCCACAGTGGAGGGGGACGCCGACCTTAGGCGCTAAGTCACCTCTGACCCTGCAGCGGCTCCAGGAGGAAGCGCGCCAGCGGGACCTGGACTGGGACCGGCGGCGGGTACAGAAGGCCCGTGTTGCGCTGCTGGGTGAGCGGCGGCAGCATCGCCAGCAGTGCGAGGACCGGAGGGCTCTGGACCGAAGCAACCTCCGTCTGGCCGCGGAGCAGCGTCTGCAGTGCGCGGGGCATGGGTGGGCGAGGGGGCGGCAGAGAAGCAGTGCACCAATAAAACGGGGTCCAGGGCTTTTTCCTTTAAAAAGACTATTTATATTTATTTATATTTATATTTAGGAAGCACATGTGTTTGCTAATTTTTTTTCTCTTTTTGTTGTTAGAAAGAAATATATGGATGAAATCTGTGCAAATCAACCCACGGCCGATTATTTTGCTCAATTTAATACAAGAAGTCGATAATGCAAATGACAACCTCGGTTTATGAATAAAGCGTGGCCACCTTGAAGCATCTCTTTTCTTTTAAAAAGATGCATTCATTGGTCCCAAAGTGCCTCTGACACCCATTTAGGGACCCTCTCCCTTGTGTTTCAGTCCCGCTTAGCTCTGTGAAGTTCAACAATTGGGGCTGTGGACCTGGGGTGGGGGAGACAGGGCCCCTTAAGGGACCATTCCAGAGGGAAGTGGTATCGTGGGTGGAACTGGATGCTACTTGGACTCACCAGTAACCAAGCGCTAACTCTGCAAGCATCGATTGCAGACATCATTTCTAACATTTCACAAAGACTTAACTGCACCTGGTGGTGGTGCACACCTGTAATCCCAGCACTCTGGGAGGCTGAGGGAGGATTGCCAGTTCAAACTCAGGCTAAGCAATTTAGCGAGATCTTGTCTCAAAATAAATAAATAAAAATAAAAAGGGCCAGGGATTTAGCTCAGTGACACTGTGCCTGCCTCAAAAGTGCAAGGTCCCGAGTTCGATCCCTGGTACCAAAAAACAAAAACAAAAACAAAAAAACATGGGCTGGGGATGTACTGCAAAAAAATTTTTTATTTTTTAAAAAATTTATTTATTTTTTGGTACCGGGGATCAAACTCGGGACCTTGTGGTTGCAAGGCAGGCCGCGGCACCACTGAGCCAAATCCCCGGCCCATACCAAAAAAAAAAAATTTAACTAGTTTGAGTCTTATGACAGCCAGTATTTTTACCACCCACATTTTCTAGTTGGAGAACCTAAGTACAGACAGGTAGAGTGGCTTGTCCTTGATCCCACCTCTAGGAAGTGCCAGCTCGGGGGAGCCCAGGGGGTCTGCCACCGAAGCCACTTTACTCTCCGGACTCCAAGCAACAGTGGCTCCAATGAAGTGTAGCTTTATATTTCTTGCTCTTGGGAAAGCCCAAGCTGTCCTGGAAGCTGCAGAGCTGCCCCTCACCCAAAAGTGTGCCCATCTTGGGGTCCAGGCCACCACTGCTCCAGCCCCACCTTGTGCCGCTCCCTGAAGGCTCCTCCCCTTTCAGGGACCGGGCCCTCCGCTCACATCCCCACTCTGACTTGAGCTCCTGACAAAGGATAGGAGACTCTGCCTTCTTTGTCACCAGTGCATTTCCTAAGATGACACAGGTGCTACCACTGCTAACAGCTGCGGGGCTTTGTCCCCCTGCGGAGGAAACCAGGAAAGCCACACTGCTCTTGAAGGTGGAGATCACCAGAGAAGTTTGCGCATTGTTGCCATCACTGTGGGCACATGCAGAGAGGCACCCAGAGAGGCCTGCTCTGTGTGGAGCCCTGCCTGGGCTAGTCCAGTGGTAGAGCTGAAGTAGCCTAAGGTGTCTGGACAATCTCCAGGCCTCAGCCTCCTGCAGGTGTCTCCAGGGGTATGTGCTCATCCTCTGTCATGGGACTGCCCACGTGTGTGCAGTCTGGGACACATCCTAGGGGAGTCCCACGTCCCATGAATTATGCCAACCACGGGTGGACCAAGCCCCTCCTCTGTCCTTTGAGCATGGTGGAATCCTGCTGTGACATTTATCAAGATGTTGTTAAAGGTCCAGGGAAGCAAAGGACCCACATCCTAGAGGAGATCAGAGGCCCAGAGCCTCTTCCTGGGGCCACCTCTGCCTGCTGCATTCCACCTGGCTGGGCACAAGCAAAGGAGTCCCCATTTGCCACCAGGCTGGAGCAAGCACCCCCAGGGCCCTGGAACTTTGCCCTTGTTTCCTGAGTGGGGGCTGTGTGTTCCCACAGTGATTGAACTGTTTCTGTCGGGAAAGGGCATGAGACTGGCATATTCATTTCCTAAGGCAACTGTAAATAACAAAGAGCTACAAACTGGCTTCAACAGTAGACATTCACAGCACATCACGGTTCTGGAGGCTGGAAGTCTGAGGCCGGAAGTCTGGGATCAGGAGTCAGCAGGCTGGTTCCTGGAGACTGGGAAGGAGGTGACTGTGACTGGAGTTTGCTGGTGACCCTTGGGGTTTCTTGGCATGCGTCATCCCCTGATCTGCACCCTCTTCCGCCTGCAAGAATTTGTTTGTTTTTTTTTGTTGTTGTTTTTACAAGAGTTTGTTTCCACATTTCCCTTTTGTAAAGACACCAGTCATCCAGGGCCCACTGTAATTGAGGTAGGATAAAAGAAAGATAGAAAGGAGACGAGAAAGTCATGACAAAAAATTTTTACTTTTAAGAAAACTGCACCTTCCAGGAACCAGCTGAAGCTACCCAAGGCGATGCATATTAGCATTCTTTGATTAAATTTAGACTCCTTCCCTACCAACCCATCACACCCCAAATTTCTTAGGAACACTAAGTCTGTAAATTGGCTTCATTGAGAAAGTAAGAAAAAGGAGCAGGTTGAGCAAACTCAGAGAATGTTCAAATTACCTATTTTTTTTTGAAAAGCATACCTGAAGAATAGGCCAATACCTTTTGGGGGGACACCTTTTCCTGGGCTCTTCTACTCCTTCAAGAGAAATACAAATGTTTCCAGCTCCAAACTGCAGTGTGTCTCATTTCTCTGTCACCTTCATTTCACTCTCAAGCTCGTCCTAAATCCCTAATAAATCCTTCCAGAGCTGCTTCCTGACACATCCTAAAAATTCTTTTTCCACAGTGGAAGTCAGAGAACCTGCTGCAAAGGGTTGAGGTCCTTATTTCAGTCTCAGGGACCCTCAGACTCAGCCTGGTGGCATAATGACCCCATCTTACCTGTTGCCTCTGTAATGACCCCATTTCCCAGCAAGATTACATTCTGAGGTCCTGGGGATTAGGGTTGCAATATATTTTAGGGGAACACAATTCAGGCCATCACAGGGGGACATGCAGAGGGGTGCCTGGACCCATTACCTCCAGGATAGACCCCTTAGGAACCTTGGTGCCCGGGTTGCATGAAGCCTGCAGGGATGGATAATTGACAGCCAGGGCAGTTGCTTAACGCCCCTGCTTTTTGGGAGTGAGGGATACAGTGAGACGTGGAGGTGTTCTCAGTTCCCTCTGTGAGCAATGAGGGATCTTCAAGTCTAGGATCTCTAATGGGACACACAGGGACAGAAATAGGTCCATGAAAAGGAGAGTGGAATCTTACATGAGCACAGGCCACAGGGTGACACATCTAGGGGCCACTACAGCCATGGGCAGTACATTATGTCTTCAAGACCCTGGGCCCAACGTGGAGAGGGCTGCTCTACCTTTGGATTTTGCATTGTTATGAAAAATCCCCCAATAGCAGGCCAGGTCAGAAAACTGGACCTTTGCTTTACCATGGGCTTGCTTCACCTGCGCCCTCTGCTGGCGGCCTGGAGCACAGCCCACTCTCCGAGGTTCTCCAGGCAGGAAACTGCTGGGCTGGGCAGGTGATCGCAACACCAGCAACGCTGGATACTGTGTCACCCTGCCGAAAGAAAGCAGGATGGAAGAGGCTGGGTAATCTACTCTTGGGTGGAAGGCAGAGCCAGGGCCTGTTCGGCCTCCCCTGTTATCCTCTGAGTGGCCTGCTGGGGTTTTACATACATAGCACACACACTCCAGAGGGGTTTTTTTTTTAACTTTATACCCAACATTTTATTACAAAAACCTTTAAGCATGCAGAAAAGCTGAGAGGCTTGCACAGGATATCCCTACAACCCACAGTCTACAATTAATATTTTGCTATATAGTATATTGCTTTTTTGCCTGTCACTATGGAGACTGAAACTTGCTATTTCATGGTGCTTATAAAAGACACAAACAGCTCAGGAAAGTTAAAGATAATGACCTTCAGAGGTCATTTAAATTTACCCAAATAACTTATGTCCACACAAAAACATACACAAGAATATCTACAGCACTTAATTAATTAATTAATTAATTTTTTGCGGCTCCAGGGATGGAACTCGGGGCCTTGGACTTGTGAGGCAGGAATGGTGCCACTGAGCTAAATCCCCAGACCTTATTTGATTTTTTTGAGACAAGGTCTCACTATTGTAGTTCAGGTTAGCCTTGAACTCACTATGTATCCTAGGCTGTCCTGGAACTCTGGGTGATGCTCCTGGCTCAGCATCCTGACTACTGGGATTGCAGGTGTACATCACCATGCCCAACTATAGCAGTTTTACTCTCAATTGCCAAATGTGGAAGCAAGCATGGTGTCCTTCTTCGGTAGGTGAGTGGGTGAACAAACTGTGGTCCACCAGACCATAGAATTCAGTGGTGGCGAACCTATAGCATGCATGCCGAAGCAGGCTATTTGTTATCATTGCGAGTTCTAAAAGGTCTGGCATCACTGCATAACCCAGCACTTAAAAGAAAACGCCTTGGGGGGAATCAAATGCATATTATTATAAGAAATAAGCCAAACCAAAAAGGCTGTGGGCTCCCAGCTGTAGGACATTCTGGAAAAGGGAAAACACTGGAGATGAGAAGGCCAATGCTTGTCAAGGGGTGGAGGAAAAAGGGATGAGCAGTCAGAGCCCAGGGGATTTTAGGGTAGGGCAACTCTTCTGCCTGACACTACAGGGGTGGACACAGGTCATTCCACACTTGTGCAAACCCACAGAATGTCCACCACCACGAGGGAACCCTAAGGTCAACTTTGAGCCATTGATATGTGATACCTCACTGATGACAAACATGCCCCACTGATGCATGCTGCTAACAGGGGAAACTGGGCAGGTGTGGGAAGGGAGTACCTAGGAACTGTGCACCTTCCCTGCAAGTATTCTGTAAACCTAAAAATACTCTTAAAAATAATGTCTAAATAAGTGAAGACATAAAATACCTAGAAGGAAAAAAGCCTTCCTCAGGTGGTTCTTTATCTTTATTCTAAGTTCAGGTTCTACTATTCAGAATAATAGGGCGGGGGGTGGGGGACTCAAAAATGAAGGATTTACCCTGAGCTACTTCAAAGATTCTCCTGTGGTATCCATGTGTCTCTCAGCCTCCTAGTGTGCTTTAATGAGCAGCATCTCAAATTCATGGTTTTTCAGCCTACATAGTTGCACAATGCTAAATACATGCAAGATAAATAAATGTG